CAATTCTATCAATCTTTCCAGTTTCCAGATCAATTAGACAATTTAAATTTTGCAAGGTGTCCGAAAGGTACAAAAATATGCAGCGGGATCTCCTGTATTGATATAATTTAATAAACGAATTATTTATAATTAAATGGTGGAGAAAAATGAATATTTATTGCCACGACAACTGATTCGTACCGAATTACCCATAAGACACTGCGCGAAGAACTGCAAGAATCATTTGATTTCGTAAAATAGCGGTGAAACGTTGAAACTGGTCGATGTTACCGACAGCCGATCACAGACGGAAAGCAATGGCGTCATCTAGACACGATTCTTGTAATACCGAGTTCCGACGATCTTTCTTAGATGGTCTCATCATTATTTTCTAAGAATTACCAACTGTTGGTAATGATTGTTCGCTGGTTTCAGCGTGTTGCCACTACGAGAAATGGCACTATTTTCACATTTAAAATTAATAAACGATTCACACCGTTATTTATACAGTACTTCAATTTATTCTTAACGTATGCACAGTGAAATCGTATATGTAACAAATGAAAGACTTCAAGCTTTCTGATAAATTATTTACTGTTAGAAAAAAATGAGAGTTTATTACATGACAGCATATATATATAAATAATTAATTACTCACAAGAACTGCATTCGTCGCTCGACTCTTCGATCTTCGTCCCCGTGAACTGTGCCTTAATTTTTCGCCACACTGAAAGGAACAAATATGGCAAAAGGGTATATATATTATATTAGGGTTATATCAATTATATAATAATAATAATAACAATAATAACATAATAACATAATTATATTATAGATAATATCACTGATTAATTGACAATTATTGTAATGACAATTACGCTGCAAAATCTTTATGCAAAATCAAAATGATCTTCGTTAATTTGCAAAATACAGAAACTAAATCGGCATTTATTTCGTTCGTAATACGTCGTTATATTGAAATTGTTCAAAAGTTTTCGCTATTTTGCGCTTAATTTAATTAATTTCTTTACTTCAATAATTATTAAACTATTTCAATTTAACACATATTTTTGTTATAAATGCGTAAAACCCGCGGTCTAGTGATAACGAAAGTCTTTAATAATAAATTCCAGTGAATTCAAATAATTTTTAGAAATCAATTATTATTCCATCTTATAATAATATTGTTACTTACTACTTGTCAAATTCCTCTCGATACCCGATTTATGACGTTTCTTAGCCCATTTGGAACTCCTCGGTTTTTGCTCTTCTATATAATCCACCTCTTCGTCCATATTTAACGCAATTCACTGATCTACGATAACAGCGAAATTCCGACAATGTTCTACAAGAAAATGAACGTCGCGGTATCAACACACTTTGAAACAGACTAAACAACCATAAATCGTAATACCACTGTAATCGCTCAAACGTGCAAGTTCCACTAAAAGGATCGAGACAAAAGGTATCTCTAAAAAAAAAATAAACGAAGAATGGAGAAAATAGATTATAACAACTATCGCGAACGAACAACAAGCACACGACGACAATGATTCGCACGTTCCAAGTTATGAACTGAGGTATTTTCAGGTTTCGTAAGATAACGAAACACTGTACACAAGTACACAAGTCTCGCTCGGAATCATCTAGCCGAGGAACATTGAAACAAACTTTGGTCGGAAGCCAATCCCCATGCCAATATCTGTTATAAGTTCGGACTTGAAAACTGCTATAACAATGCTTTTTCACGTATATGACAAAGTGTGACGTTGACGATATGATTTTAAATTTGAGCCTCTGCCGACTTATGACAGCAAAGGCGAGACAGATTTTTAGCTCGAAACAGTTGTCGTATCTAAATTATTTTTCACTCTCGATAACCTTGACATAATCTTGCTATGACACCCTTATTATTATTAATATTATTACAATAGTAATAATAATAATAATTATTATTAATAATAGTAATAATATTAGTTAATTAAATTAGACAATTATATACAACTGAGACAATATAATATATAATATATTATATATAATTATAGACACACAATATAATATTATTATTAATATTAGTAATAATAATAATAATAATAATAATAATTATTATTATTATTATTATTATTATTATTATTATTATTACTATTACTATTATTATTATTATATTATTACTATTACTATTACTATTATTATTATTATTATTATTATTATTATTATTATAAATAACCTTATTATTCAATGGATTGTCGTAACAACTGCTAAATTCTAAAATCGAAATAAAAACCAATAGTCCGGACAGCTCATTTTTCTTTCTCATCTATTCAAGGTCAAGCCACGAACGATTCGGACAGGTGTTAGCAAACGTGCATAGTGTAGTCGAAAGACTTCACCGAAGTCCAAGAGTTATTCCTGAGTCAAGGTGTTAGGGACCGCTTCACTGGCAGAACAATTGCGACTGCAGTAAGTTCTCCCTAATTTTACCACAGCTTGTAAACAAAAAATGGACAATCTAGGAAGATGAGATGAGATTATTCGAGCCTTGCGATCCATTTTTATAGTTTTTTTTTACTATAAATACTAAATTAATATTACAATATAATATCAATATAAATATATAATAATTGATATTGTCGATTTTTGTTTACAAGCTGATGGGAAATTAGGGAGAATTTACTGATTCTGCTAAAAAATATGAGTACAATCTTTGCATCCACTTGTATATGCTCCATCTGTTTTTTCATTGAATTATTTGTGTTACCGTTTCAAGAATGGGTCAAAATCGAACGATGTTCCATAACAGGTACAGTAAATTCTTCCCAATTGACGCTCGGATTGTACAGAAAAATGAAAAATTCGGGAAGAGGACATACGATTACTTATAGTATATTATTTATTTATTATTTATATATTATTTATATGTATACGATTATTTATAATATAGCATATTATTTATAGTTTTTATTGCCAACAACTATAAAAACGAGTCGCAAGGCTCGAGATACGTTTGTTCGAGCCTTACAGCCCATTTTTATAGTTATTGACAATCGGTAACTATAAAAACAAGCTACAACAGCACGCCGATTGTGCTGTACAACCTTTTTCATTCAAGCCGAAATAAATAAATAAATATATAATAATATAATAATGTAATAATGTAATAATGTAATAATATAACAATGTAACAATATAGCAATATAATAATATAATAATACAATAATATAACAATATAATAATATAACGATATAATAATATAACAATATAACAATATAAAAATATAATAATATAATAATAAGGCTGGAATAATCGCATGATAATCGTAAATAACCAAAGGGTTAAGCGCTGCTGCGGCAGCCGATCCGCACCTATCAATTCCACAATTGTCGCCTCTATCAACCTGATTCCATTACTGTCCGGCGACATTACTGGTCGACGCGCGAAACGATGTCGCCGAGAAGAATTGGGTAGACAGCGCACGGGTTGATCTCGTGTACGTCGAGCCAAGGGTGCGACTGCGGCAAGGGGCACGAGCAGCGCGAACACCGGGACGGCCGTTGAAAATGCACTTTGTCGGTGCGTTACGGTTAACTGTATAGTCGCTCTCTGTTTCCTGCCATCTGATGGGAGGCGGCAGTTTCCAGATAGTAACTGTCGTTGGTGCAATCATCGGCCAGTCTACGGGGAAGGCGTTTAATACCCTTTAGCGAGCGCGCGCTCGCTAAAGGTAAGAAAGTCGGCTGGTCATCTACAGAACAGTTAACCTCGCAGCGGGTTAAAAAGTTCTAATGCACGAACGATGATTTTCTGGCCGGATAGTTGAATTCGTTGCTCATCCGCGATACACCCTTACAGTTACCCTTTGTCTGGCGAATCGGTGACGTACACTTTTAACGACTGCCAACGTGCTGAAACGTGATGTTTTTCCGATGTGTGTTAGGTTTCCTCTGGAGAATTAGGTTGCAAGGATAAAAAGGAATTGTAGACATCGGTCTCAATCGATATTGAAAGTTGCAGTTTTGAAAATTGATTGTTGACGCGTACAAATTACAGTAATGTCTCTCTAATTGACGCTCAGATTGTGCACGAAAATGATCAATGTGGGAAGAGGAGATACGATTGTTCGAGCCTTGCAGCTCGTTTTTATAGTTGTTGATAAATTCGTAACTATAAAACGAGTCGCAATAGTCAAATTAATCGTATCTCCTCTTCCCAAATTGTCCATTTTTGTGCACAATATGGGCATCAGTTAGGGAGACATTACTGTAATTCCTGGTGATTCTGAAAGTAGCAAAGTTAAAATTTGCATAGACCATTTCAATTAATATTGTACTGTACAACTTTTTTTTTTTATTCAAGCCAAAATAAGTAAATATATAATAATATAACAATATAATGATATAATAATATAGTAATATAGTAATATATAATAATATAATAATATAATAATATAATAATATAACGATATAACGATATAATAATATAATAATGTAATAATGTAATAATTTAATAAAAAATTTAATAATATAATAATATAATGATATAATGATATAATAACATAATAACATAATAATTTAATAATATAATAATGTAATAACACAATAATATAATAAGTAAAAAAATAAATAAATATTCAAGCTAAAATTGTTAGAGTTTCTACAAACGATGAACTTTGTCTATACATCTGTTTTTTCTTCGTTTTTTTCTCTAACTTTTTTAAACACAACCTTAAGTCGCCATTCTTTATTATTAATTAAAATAACAAATAATCACACCGATTGCACTATAACAAGAAGAACGAAAAAGATGTCAGATAAAATAACATTAAACTTGATTTTGCGAATGAACATTGCTCGTGTCGTCCAATATCGGTATAATATATATATATATTGAGAGAGAGAAGGAACAACGCGACGAACAAATCAAAAAACAAATTATCTACAATACATCTTAATTAGCGTCACACTTTCGCATAGTAAAATGAACGATTAACCCTCGTTCTCGTATCCACAGCCGACAATTATATATATAATTATATATAAATATATATATTATATTTATATATAATAAATATTATATATATTATATATTATTATATATTATAATTATATATGATATATAATATATAATAATAATAATAAGCTAACATAATTAATACGCTAAACATTGCTATAACAAGACACAATAACCCTTGCCAGCGATCGTTCGCGTTGTTTATAAGACGATCGACACACGGCGCGTTTCTTCCGTGGCAGCGAAAACTGTGTCAAATTGACACGACACGTTAAACGAACGCGGGTTGAAAATCACGTGGTCGGTTCGTCGGCCGCCACGTAGGTGGAATGTGAACGCGGATGCCAGCCGAAGAGGCATTAAATAGAGGACAGAGGGACACGGGACACCGCGAGAGAACGAGAAAGAGAGATAGAGAGAGAGAGAGAGAGAGAGAGAGAGAGAGATTCACATTGTAAATTAATGTCGGAGGCTCTTTAACTAAATTAATTGCGCCAATGGTAATTACACTTAGAACGCGCGCGCCTTCGGTGCATCGTGCTTTAAACGGTGCTAGCACTTCTTCTATGAGGGTTTTCTTGCGTCTCCCCATCCTCCCTCCACCCCACCCACCCTCTCGTCACCTCTCGTTCTCTTCGTTAAGTGTACCAGTCGCCCGCTGCCGGAACGACAGAGGACCCGTGCGCCGACGACCTGTTCGCCGGCGATAGTCACAGCCTCTCGTCGTCCATTGACTGTCCGTGCAAGCGTGAAACACGTGTTCGCACACGCACAAATATAATTAGTCGGAGATTTTTCTGGAGACGGAGGCGATACAATGTTCGTCCGCCTCTTTCACTAAGGCGACACGCATACCACGGCCGTAACAGCCGACAGAGATGCTGCTGCTGCCCCGGCAAATCGGACCGCGCCGCGCCGCACGACTCCGCCGCGCTCCTCTTTCGCGACGCACCGCCGCCGTTCGCTGAACTTTTTCGCCGCGAACCCCTCTGCCGGCCAATATCGCGACGGAATCGCTCGAAACGAACCTTACAGGACCGCGAATTGAATCTATGCTAATGTTGTCGCGATTGTCAAGCGTGATGTGAGTAATATGATAAATATAAATGTAACGATAAATAATAAATTTATTATATTTATTATTTATCGCTAAATTTATATTTATCATATTACACACATCATGCTGTATATATAATAATAATA